AATCAGAAGTAACTCAAAGTAATCAGGTTACATTACTTTTATTTAGAGGTCGACCGATTAATCGGCCGATTTTTGGCATTTTTTAACATAATCGGCATCGGCCAATATCCAAGTAATATCAAGCCGATTATTAGGCAGGCGCATCTGTGGGCAGCCTAGTGTTGTCGTGGAACACGTGTTTGACGCGCGCTGCCGCTAGAGTCATTTTCCAGCCGAGTGAGCAGCAGACCTCATGCAGTGCCTAAGGAGCTAACGGTAAGGATTCAATTCTTATTACTCCTTTATATTTAATTAAAAACTTTTGATATGTTACTGCCAACTTCGAGAAAAAACCTGAATAAGACACATGACATTCGGCTAATTTGGATCGTAGTTGAAGTTGCATTATCACAGAAGAGTTGCTATCATGTCACAATAAGTAAGCAACAATTTTGCAATTACAGAGTGAATCTAAGACTTTTATTTGTTCTGTTTGTGTGTCTTATATTTGAGAGGGTTGTCACTCAATGCAGAGAAATAAGTAATAAAAAAGAGACCAACGCACTATAGGCTAGTGACAGACTGGCTTTGCTTTGCTAACGGGTAGCTACAGACAGACCCGGTGCTGATACGGCACTGGAACCTTAACGACCGTTATCTACCGCACCGAATATCAACGCGGATTTCTGTGTTCAGTTCGGTGCAAATAGAGGTTAAAAACCAAGCAAATATCGGCCATCGGCCGACCCGGATTTCAAAAGATCGGTATCGGCATCGGCGTGAAGAAAACCATATCGGTCGACCTCTACTTTTATTTTGTGGTACTTGGATGATGTTACTGATTACATTTTTTAACAATTAGTACCTGATAACATTTTGAAGTAATCCTCTCAACCCTGGCTGTCGTTACCGTAAAACTCAGATTATGGGCACAATAATCTTTCAGTGGCAGCAGGTTTGCAGCAGTCTGCAGTGAGAATAAGCAGTAAAGAGGACAAACCTGCTCTGTGTAACCGGACTTCAGGCTGGAAAACAGCGTCCAGTAGTTTCCTGTGTCTCTGGTTCTCCTCTTTGGAACGACAGAGTTCCTCCTCGTACTCTGATATCGTTCTTTCAAACAGCCCAAATATCTCTTCAGCAGCCGCAGTTAGTCGCTGGTTGATAAAACCTCTCAGCATCTGGACTTTAGACATTTTAAACAAATGAAAAACACAGTTTGGACTCAGAGTTCCTCCAACCAGCGCTGTGTGGCCGAGTTCCGTCTATTTCCAGCTAGCAAGCTAAGCTAACTTCAGTTAGCATTCGTGGCTAACAGGAGATGAGTCTGAGGCGAAACCAAAGTTTCCACTTTAACACGTTTATCCCACTGACTGTATAAAAGAAGGTTTATCCAGACATACAGGCTCTAGTTCACTCCGGGAACACACGAACACGTTGGCGTGCTGACAAAGGAAGGAAATGCGCTTCCGGTACCACGTCTTCCCACACCTTCAAAATAAAAGTTTGTGAAGAAAAAACAAAGTCCTATCTGATGAACTAAGAAGCAGAAAGAGCAGCACTCTCTTTATTTTAGACAACACAACACTGTTCATCCCAGAGGTAGTCAACATATACAAGTAAGTAAATAAACTAAATAAAAAATAAAAATTATGTATCATCTGTCCATCAGAAAATAATCAAACACAAAAGTGATTTTAATTGCAAATTATTATGAGAGAAGCTGAAACAATTAAATGTTTTTATACAATCAAAATAGTTGGCAATTAATTGACTAATCGTTTCAGCAGTACTTCATTTATATTTAAAACAAAACATTATATTTTGTAAACACTTCATATGTAAAGTATATTTCCCTCCGAGATGTCGCGGAGTTTAAGTAGAAAGTGGCATGAAAATAAATGACTGAAGTAAAGTAAAAAGTACCTCAAATTTGTAGTTAAGTACAGTTTTAAGGTTCTTGTACTGGAGGTACCTTTTAATACTTGAAATACATTTTAAAGACACTTTTACGGATGCATTGCTTTTACCTGTAATAGAGTACTTTTACTTCTGATCTGATGTAACTAGAATTCACCAGTTTACAGTGAAAGGTGTGACTGCAGCTTTTAAATAAATTACATTATTAATAGCCTAGTTTGATTCACTTTAGTCTGTACTACATTCCGCAGGATTTTATTTTCTCTGGTGTCCATCCAACATTTTGGTGACTGACGGCAGGTCATGCTGCACTTTGCTGAACCTGACATGTCAGTTCTCTGGTGTCTTAAAGATAAATTACAGTTTTTCTTGGTGGCTTAAACAAAATAATCAGGCTTTTCAACTACAATTATAAAACCATAATGCCATTTGTCAAAAAGCAGGAGTACAATGCTCCTGTTTCTGTAAGGCCCCCCCTCCAAATCTCACTATCTTCTGATTGGCCGTTGTCTTATGTGTTTACCAGGTTGCTTCAGGAATAGGGCTGCATGTTCCTTTGTGGGAGTGGCCAGCATTCTCTGCCACGATCAAATGACCATATGTGGAATTCTGTCTCAGAATGACATCATACCGAGCCGTTATGATAATAATAGACCTCATTATTTGAAGCTTTGGCCGTGGTTAACATGAACATCTGACATTGTAACATTACAGAAATGACAGAAAATATGATAAAGCATAATAGGTCCCCTTTAAATAAAGAGTATAATGTTCAGTTAACAGTATACTGTTAGTATAATGTTACTATATTCATTATAATTTCATATAATAGTTTACTATTTTACCACTAGTTATATTAAATCCAGTTACAGCTGATTCATTTCTGTGGGTTGTTTTTATTTATTTAATCCTTCTGCAAGCAAGATGATCTATATTGGTCCCTAATTTGTTAATGCAAAGTATTAACTTGTCAATAATCATATTGTTCAACATTTAATGATTTGCTGTAGTACGATAAACTTTTCATAATGTCCCGCCCCATCCAGGCTGTGATTGGTCGGTTGACCAGAAGTGACTTACATCGGCTTTATAGATTTAGGAAAAGTTGAAAATCAAAAGGCAGTAATACAGCTAACGTTAACTGGCCAGCAATCCAAAGCCAAATCTTCTTTATCTTATCCCTGTTTTCTTCTGTCTTACCGCTTTAGCTGCCAACGACACGTAACGTTGCTGTAACTGTCTCTGTCACAGAGCAACAGGTGTTGTGCCGAATTCTTCCTGCCTGCTGAGAGTTGCATGCACCTCGCGGCTGATAACGCTCATTTATGCTGGCAAGAGAGGTGGATGCAAATCTCTGCAGGTAGCCTACATCATCTCTTCTGGCGAATTCTGCATCCACCTCTTAAAGTCCTTTTCAGACACTTTGCTGTGCTCATTGATCAAACACGGTTATCACCACATATTTTAGTTGATTCTCACGAAGGATATTCTAGTGTTTAAAAGCAACGGCCGAAGATGTTGTCTTTAATGTTACTCGCTCACTGCCCATAAATTACTGTTTGTGGTTTATGCTTATCTGTTTTAGGAGCACATGCGAGAGCCCGGTGTGGGCGGAGATAATGAGCAGACAGCAGTGCAAACAGAGAGGAGTCTCACACACACAGCACACTTTTTGCGGTTATGTAATCGCACATGACGACATCGCGATTGCAATTAGATTAATCGTGCAGCCCTAAATTTGGATATTGAAATTTTAGACTTTTTAAGGAAAACGTGGCTGAACACAACTTTTAGACGATCAGTGTTCAAGAAGCAGCTTAATTTTTACCGTTAATCTCACCAACATACTTGCATATCTTTTGACACTGTGGAGCAGAGTGAATATTTTACCACAAAGACTGAAACTAAATGGTTTCTCCCGTGTGGACTGTAGAGTGTCGTCTTAGATGTGCCTTTTGTGCAAATCTTTTACCACAAACTGAGCAGCTAAATGGTTTCTCCCCTGTGTGGACTGTAGAGTGTCGTCTTAGATGTGTCTTTCGTGAGAATCTTTTACCACAAACTGAGCAGCTAAATGGTTTCTCCCCTGTGTGGACTATAGAGTGTCGTCTCAGAGTTCCCTTTTCTTTGAATCTTTTACCACAAACTGAGCAGCTAAATGGTTTCTCCACTGTGTGGACTATAGTGTGTTGTCTCAGAGTTCCCTTTTCTTTGAATCTTTTACCACAAACTGAGCAGCTAAATGGTTTCTCCCCTGTGTGGATCTTGGAATGTTGTCTCAGATGTGCCTTTTGTGTGAATTTTCTACCACAAACTGAGCAGCTAAATGGTTTCTCCCCTGTGTGGACTCTCATGTGAGTCACAAAATCTCTATTGAATGTAAACATTTTTTTACAAACAGAGCAGCTGAAAAGTTTTTCTCCTGAATGGAGTCTCATATGAATCTTTAAGTAGCCCTTCTGGCTGTATCTTTTACCACAAACTGAGCAGCTAAATGGTTTCTCCCCTGTGTGGACTCTCATGTGAGTCACAACATCTCTATTGAATGTAAACATTTTTTTACAAACAGAGCAGCTGAGAAGTTTTTCTCCTGAATGGAGTCTCATATGAATCTTTAAGTAGCCCTTCTGGCTGTATCTTTTACCACAAACTGAGCAACTAAATGGTTTCACTCCTGTTTGGGTTCCATTGTGGTTCTGCAGATGTTCCTTATGGCCAAATCTTGCAGCACATTCAGAGGAGCTAACTGATGTTTCTCCAGTGTTACATTCCTGATCACTTACAGGTACTTCATTGTTTTGCAGAGGGTTTAAACCTGGCTGAGGTTCCCTGGTCTCCTCCCAATCACAACTATCATCAGTCTCAGGTTCAGAGGGGAGTGAAGTCTGGCCATGAGTATCTGGTTGTGAAGGGCTATCTGGGTTAAAGTTTCTGGCTGGTTCTGGTCCTCCACAGTCCTCTCTATCAGTTTCTGTTTTCAAATGCTCTGCATCTCTATTCTCTTCAGTTTGGCTTTGATGAAGCTGTGAGGACTGAGGATTCTCTTCATCATCTTCTTCACTCTTCACAGGGACAAGAGTGAATGGGAACTTGGTGAGATCAGCCTCCTCCAGTCCTGGAAGCTGCTCTCCCTCCTGACTACTCCAGAGATCCTCCTGTTCGCCTTTAATGTGTGGCGGCTCTGGTGGGTCCTCCTGGTCCAGCCTGGGGCTCCACTGCTGCTGCTGCTCAGGGGGAACCTCTTCTTTACTCACCAACAGCTGCTGGACAGCTGTGGAGAATAATGAAAAACATGTACTATGTTTATGTCTGTGTTTTACCTGGAGATAGGGGTTGGCGATATTATGATATTTGATTGTGAACGATTAAAATTTCTCCATGCTCTGCCTTTTCAGAGAGATCGTTACTATAATGCAAATGTGCACCAAATTTAGTTCTAAGCCTCGTCAGACCCACTTATACCGTGCGTTACGTTATCACCTACTTCATAGGGGGACAATTCACAATACATGTACTGCAACAAAGCATTTATTTTTAATTGTCCCAATTAAATAGTGTGGATGTGGGGTGGCAATGGAGCAGTGGATAAGAGACATGCCTTTGGCATGGTGCCTTTGATGTGAGAGAGAGGGTTCAACTCGCCACTGTGACCTATCCACCATTGTGTGCAAGACACTTAACCTCTCGTTGCTCCTGAGACGCGTGACCTGACGTTTGTAAGTCGCTTTGGATAAAAGCATCAGCTAAAATGATTAAATGGAATAAATAGAATGTAAACAATAGCACATCCTACTGTTGCAGTAGCCTACAGTTATTGTCAATTGTCCCCATAAATAATTGCACATGCATTTGAATATATAGTATTTTCATAATACATCAAATGATTTTATATTGATTCACTTTATATTTATTATAGAAATAATAATAATAATAATAATATTTTCTTATTGAATTGTTGAAATTTTATTCACCACAATGATTGCACACTCTGTGATGACAAAAGGTGCTAAAACACAGATTCTGGCAAAATATTAAATGGAAAATTTTAACAGATTTCATGGGGTCGACGTGTAGTTACATTTTTGAGGAGGTGCACATAGGGCTACGGTGTAGGGTAGGGAGCTGAGCAGAGGCTACGCCGTCGATTCGACACAGAAGTAAATCGTTTCAGGATGTCGACCACCCCCCCTGACAGAAATCCTAGGGTAAACACTGTCTTTAACACACGGAATTCATTGAAACTATAACGTACTACAAGCATATTGTGGGCTTCGCATTTTGTCTCCGCGGAAATGCCATTAAATGACTGCGATCAAGGCAGCTGCAACTCCATGCTCATATTATGTGTATGTAAACCCACTAATCCTGCGTTCAGATAAACCTCTCAGCTGAAGACATGAAAGTGTTTTACTGCTAAAGAATTTGAAGAAACCATTTGGCGTCTGTCTGCGTATACCACAGGTTTCATGTTATGTTGTTAATGATGCACATTGTTTCATTAGACCATATATTGTTTCCCTTGGATGGAGTTGTAGCAAAACTTTTTGAGAGCTCGCAAAGTGCTTTCTGCTTTATATCTGGATCTAAAACACCAATACAACAAATGTGGGCGGGTGGGTATGGGGAGGGTTCTACTTCCAGAAAAACATGTGTTTTCCAATAAATAAAATATATAATTTCACGTAATAGTGGACCATTATTATTACCATATCTGTACAAAAAGTCGGAAAAACGAGAGCAGATTATAAATAAACAACATCCAAAAACCTAAACTTGCTAAACAAGCCTTATGGGGAGGAGCTATAATCATTAGATCTGGGAAAAGCCATCTTTTTGTTTTGATGCTCTCCACAATGATTTTACATTCATGGCACAGCCCCCAAGTTGTTTTGGGCCTTACCGCCTTATAGCAGGGATAACCCTGTTGATAGAACGTCAGAATCATTTTGGATAGGTTTATACACCCTTCTGTATAATTACCAAGCATTTCAATTGTACATTGAAATCCAAATGAAACGTCTCCTCATTAGAATAAAAGGACTTATTTGTATCCCTAATTTGCTTAACTAACATCAGCTGCTCCATGGTCACGAATGTCCTTCCTTTCCTAACTAACAAGTGTCACGGCTGGCTCAAAACCGCGACAAAAAAGAACAGAACAATGACACAAACTGCGTCAAAGGTACCATTACTTTTTTAAATTAACAGAAACAACTTAATATTGAAACAAACACCAAGTATGATAATCAGTAGATCTGTCATGTCAGCAGGTATGCATGCTTGAAGGAATAGTGAGTGAAGTATTGTATGGTGAAAGAAACAAAAAATAACAAGGAGCGTGGAGCATAGGGAACAGGGTTTCCCTCCTCTCTAGCCCTCAGCGCAGAACAACAGACACACACTTATAGTGGAGAACACAGGGCCCAGGTGGCTCCAACAACTGATGATTTTAACCACGCCTCCTGACATCTGCAACACAGGATACAGAGAGACAGACATCCCAGCAGCCGAAAGATGGGGACGTCACACAAGTTTTTCAGACTCATCTGAATAGTCAATTATTATTTAACTATCAGGATGTGCAGTATGGATCCAGGACAGAGCCGTACACTAGTTTAGCCTAAGCTTTAGTTAAGTAAAGAAATGCAGATAATTAATGTTACTTCCAGGCGACGGGTAGCCAGTGGATGTCACTGAGAAATGGAGTGACATGAGTCCTTTGGGGTTGATCAAAAACCAGACATGCTGCTGAGTTCTGAACCATTTATAGGGGTTTCAGCAAACAAGCTGGAAGACCCACTAGGAGGGCATTGCAGTAGTCGAGGTGAGAGATAATCATGGCCTGTACCAGATCTTGGGTGGCATACTGTGTAAGGTAGGGCCTTATTTTTCTTATGTTGTAAAGAGCAAAGCGGCAACATGGTCTGAAAAGGACGTCTATCGGGAAGGATAGGTAGAGTTGCGTATCGTCTGCATAGCAGTGGTAAGAGAAGCCAAATGAGAAGAGAAGGGGCCCTAGCACTGAGCCCTGGGGCACCCCTGTGGAGAGGCAGTGGGAAGAAGATAATTGTCCTTGCCACAAAACACTGTAAAAACGCCCAGAGAGGTTTCAACCCACAGGAGTGCTTTGCCCGAGATGCCCATTGCTAAGAATGCGGATAGCAACATCCTGTGATTGACTGTGTCAAAGGCAGCTGATACAGTCATGGCCAAAAGTGTTGGCACCACTGAAATATTTCCAGAAAATCAAGTATTTCTCACAGAAAAGTATTGCATTAACACATGTTTTGCTATACAAATGTGTATTCCCCTTGTGTGTATTGGAACAAAACAAAAAAAAAGAAGGAAAAAAAGCAAATTGGACATCATTGCACACTAAACTCCAAAAATGGGCTGGACAAAATTATTGGCACCCTTAACTTAATATTTGGTTGCACACCCTTTGGAAAAAATAACTGAAATCAATCGCTTCCTATAACCATCAATAAGCTTCTTACACCTCTCACCTGGAATTTTGGACCAACTGCTCCAGGTCTCTCATATTGGAAGGGCGCCTTTTCCCAACAGCAATTTTAAGATCTCTCCACAGTTATTCAATGGGATTTAGATCTGGACTCATTGCTGGCCCCTTCAGAACTCTCCAGCGCTTGGTTGCCGTCCATTTCTGTGTGCTTTTTGAAGTATGTTTGGGGTCATTGTCCTACTGGAAGACCCACGATCTTGGACGCAAACCCAGCTTTTTGACACTGGGCCCTACATTGCGACCCAAAATCCTTTGGTAATCCTCACATTTCATGATGCCTTGCACACAGTCAAGGCACCCAGTGCCAGAGGCAACAAAACAACCCCAAAAGATCTTTAAACCTCCACCATATTTGACTGTAGGTACTGTGTTCTTTCCTTTGTAGGCCTCATTTTGTTTTCGGTAAACAGTAGAATGACGTGCTTCACCAAAAAGCTCTATCTTGGTCTCATTTATCCCCAAGAAATTTTTCTGTACTCAAGTACATTTTGGCAAACTGTAGTCTTGCTTTTTTATGTCTCTGTGTCAGCAGTGGGGTCCTCCTGGGTCTCCTGCCATAGCGTTTCATTTCATTCAAATGTCGACGGATAGTTCGTGCTGACACTGATGCACCCTGAGCCTATAGGACAGCTTGAATTTCTTTGGAACTTGTTTGTGGCTGCTTATCCACCATCTGGACTATCCTGCGTTGCAACCTTTCCTCAATATTTCTCTTCCGTCCACGACCAGGGAGATTAGCTACAGTGCCATGGGTTGCAAACTTCTTGATAATGCTGCGCACTGTCGACAAAGGAACATCTAGATCTCTGGAGATGGACTTGTAACCTTGAGATTGTTGATATTTTTTCACAATTTTGGTTCTCAAGTCCTCAGACAGTTCTCTTATCCTCTTTCTGTTGTCCATGCTTAGTTTGGTACACACAGACACACGGGTAAGGGTGCCAATAATTTTGTCCAGCCCATTTTTGGGGCTTTGTGCGCAATTATGTCCAATTTGCTTTTTTTCTTTTTTTGTTCCAATACACACAAGGGGAATAAACATGTGTATAGCAAAACATGGGTTAATGCAATACTTTTCGGTGAGATAAACTTGATTTTCTGGAAGAAATTCAGGAGTGCCAACACTTTTGGCCATGACTGTATGTCAAGCAGGATAAGAACTGAGGACTGGGCTGCAGCTTCAGCTGACCTTAGGGCTTCTGTTACAGACAGAAGAGCAGTTTCAATAGAGTGGCCAATCTTAAAACCCTTGAGACTTGTTTGAAGACTACGACAGGTAAACAAACATTACAGCAGAGCATGTGGAATATATTGTGATTTTGTGCTTAAATTAGATAACAGGTACTGTTTGCTTCGTAACGTTCAATTTAGATATATTGTCATTTTCCCCGAGACTAAGGTACACAACTTCTTCAGTTCTTCTACAGCTTATTGACCCAAATATTGGCAACATTTATGCAATATAATGAAAAAGGACAACAACATAGAGGAAGACTCATTCACTACAGTAACTTACTTGGGAACTTGGTGATATCAGCCTCCTCCAGTCCTGGAAGCTGCTCTCCCTCCTGACTGGTCCAGAGCTCCTCCTGTTCTTCTTTAATGTGCGACGGCTCTGGTGGGTCCTCCTGGTCCAGCCTGGGGCTCCACTGCTGCTGCTCAGGGGGAAGCTCTTCTTTACTCACCAGAACAGAAAGTGTTACTTGTTGGTAAAGTAACCGCTTACCGCGGTTAATTAGCTGTTGTTATATAATTAGCTCAGTTAGCCTAGTGGTCATCTGTCTCAGCCCGGACTGGGAGCTTGGAGCACCTGGGGAGTGTATTGTGTTTAAAGTTACACTTCAGGCCAGGATAACATCAGAGAGCGGCACCCCAGAACCGGAGCCAAGCAAGCGGTCAAAAAAAACTGTGCTCAGCAGCCTCCCAGTGAACACGGCAGGAACAGGACCGAACACAGAGACCAACAGGGAATATAGTACCGAGACGATTTACAGAGTTTCTTGATAAACAGATTTCCTTTTTGCTAAACCGCTAACTGTATCTGTCTGTATCTGTAGCTAGTTAGCTCAGTTAGCCATGCTGCGTGAAACGGCAGCAGAGCTTCACAGGTTGCCACTGGAGTCCTCTTCCACTCCTCCATGACGGTTTGAACCATGGTCTCTCACACCAAAGGCAGGAATCTTATCCATTCACCATCACCACCCCATAGCTTGTTTGTAACAATAGGCTATTATCTGAAATAGCGCTGTGCTTGTGTAAAGCCAAAACAAAGCTGCTGGATGAGAGACTGAGCAGATGAAAACACTGAGTTTTGCATGTTTATGCTCATTAAAAACAGGAGTGTTGGTAAAGAATTGGCTTTTTACTGGTCTAAGTCTTTATTGCACCACGAACATACACTAACCAGCGTAGTTGTCCTCAACGTCCGCTGATCAGCTGGCTGACTTTGATCCGTGTGTTCGCGTGCGTGGAGGCGCTGTGCAGACACAGAGGAGCGGGAGAGGCTGCAGGTCGAACAGTTATGTTGAACCTTGATTGGCGGTGATCAGTACAGCGCATGTGAAACTCAGCCATGATGATAAGGAAACAATCTCACTCTTTAGCAACTTCCATTCACTATACATGTAGTTTACTTTTGTTGTTATATCTATTAGATTGTGCGCTGCGCCACATGGAGGTTGCTTCGGTCCGGATGTGGCCCGCGGCCGCCAATTCAGTCAGGCTGCTGTAGGCCAAGAAAACCACCTCGGTCCTGTATTCCCTGTTGTCAAAATTGGCCTCTGTCGGTTTCGGAGGCCGAGTTCGGTTCCGGTTCGGCCGCAGAGTTTACTCACTGAGAGCTGAACCAGTCCGCGCAGTCTGCCTGACAGGCTGGGGGCAGAACGCACATTCAGCACTATTGGATACTGAAAACCCCAATCAATATCTGCAACAAGTCCCTCCCTGTCTTTGTGCTTTTAAATACAGCAAACAGCACATTCTTTCATGGGAAAATTTAATCAAAAGATTTCTCTTAAAGTCTTTAAAATGTGTGTGTTATTTTTCTCTTTTAAACCAATTACTTAAAAACCAACAGGAAAATGAATCGTGATCCTGAAAGAACTACATCGTGATATATTTTTGCTATATCGCCCACCCCTAAAAATCCTATCTATAATGATTCTGAGGTCAAATTAACAGGGTTTTTGGGGCTGATGCCCAAAACATGCTGTGCCATAAATGTAAAATCACTGTGGAGAGCATCATAAACAAATTACTTTCCCCCGAATCTAATAGTTTAGTTACTCTCAGCAGACTGATCTTCGGATGGTGTTGCTGCTACAACTCCATCCTAGGGGAAACACTGAGACCACGGATGGGCCAGATACTGCCATAGTGGTGACATAGTGCAAAGCATAAAAACATTTAAACAGGGATTTTGATTTCATGGGAATGATTTTGTACACATTTCTCTAGAAATACACTGAGCAGAAACGCATTGTTGACACTCTCTTGGCTTCATTTGCCTTTTTGGCTTCAAAGTAATCCAAAAGTAACTCAAAGTAATCAGGTTACATTACTTTTATTTTGTGGTACTTGGATGACGTTACTGTAAAGCTCAGAATATGGACACAACAATCTTCCAGTGGCAGCAGGTTTGCAGCAGTCTGCAGTGAGAATAAGCAGTAAAGAGGACAAACCTGCTCTGTGTAACCGGACTTCAGGCTGGAAAACAGCGTCCAGTAGTTTCCTGTGTCTCTGGTTCTCCTCTTTGGAACGACAGAGTTCCTCCTCGTACTCTGATATCGTTCTTTCAAACAGCCCAAATATCTCTTCAGCAGCCGCAGTTAGTCGCTGGTTGATAAAACCTCTCAGCATCTGGACTTTAGACATTTTAAACAAATGAAAAACACAGTTTGGACTCAGAGTTCCTCCAACCAGCGCTGTGTGGCCGAGTTCCGTCTATTTCCAGCTAGCAAGCTAAGCTAACTTCAGTTAGCATTCGTGGCTAACAGGAGATGAGTCTGAGGCGAAACCAAAGTTTCCACTTTAACACGTTTATCCCACTGACTGTATAAAAGAAGGTTTATCCAAACATACAGGCTCTAGTTCACTCCGGGAACACACGAACACGTTGGCGTGCTGACAAAGGAAGGAAATGCGCTTCCGGTACCACGTCTTCCCACACCTTCAAAATAAAAGTTTGTGTAGAAAGAACAAAGTCCTATCTGATGAACTAAGAAGCAGAAAGAGCAGCACTCTCTTTATTTTAGACAACACAACACTGTTCATCCCAGAGGTAGTCAACATATACAAGTAAGTAAATAAACTAAATAAAAAATAAAAATTATGTATCATCTGTCCATCAGAAAATAATCAAACACAAAAGTGATTTTAATTGCAAATTATCATGAGAGAAGCTGAAACGATGAAATGTTTTTATACAATCAAAATAGTTGGCAATTAATTGACTAATCGTTTCAGCAGTACTTCATTTATATTTAAAACAAAACATTATATTTTATAAACACTTCATATGTAAAGTATATTTCCCTCCGAGATGTCGCGGAGTTTAAGTAGAAAGTGGCACGAAAATAAATGACTCAAGTAAAGTAAAAGTACCTCAAATTTGTAGTTAAGTACGGTTTTAAAGGTTCTTGTACTGGAGGTACCTTTTAATACTTGAAATAAATTTTAAAGACACTTTCACGGATGCATTGCTTTTACCTGTAATAGAGTACTTTTACTTCTGATCTGATGTAACTAGAAATCACCAGTATACAGTGAAAGGTGTGACTGCAGCTTCTAAATAAATTACATTATTAATAGCCTAGTTTGATTCACTTTAGTCTGTACTACACTTCCGCAGGATTTTATTTTCTCTGGTGTCCATCCAACATTTTGGTGACTGACAGCAGGTCATGCTGCACTTTGCTGAACCTGACATGTTAGTTCATGTTCTCTGGTGTCTTAAAGATAAATTGCAGTTTTTCTTGAAGGCTTAAACAAAATAATCAGGCTTTTCAACTACAATTATAAAACCATAATGCCATTTGTCAAAAAGCACACCCATTTCCCTAAACTGCTTTAACACATGATTCAGGTTTGTTGAACTGTCTCTGCAAAACTCTACACACAAATCCCTTCATTTCTCATGTGGTCATTTAGAAAGCACTAACATTCAATATTGTTCACTCAAGTCAGCACAGGTTGAGCTCAGTTAGCTCACAGCTACCCAGGTGGAAACACAAAGAGTCATAATTGGTCACAAACCAATCACAACCTTCAATAGATAAATAAAAGGGCTGAGTAAGTTCATTCAGTTTTGGAACAACGGATCCAGAGAGATGTGAAGAAGATGTCCAGGACACCAGAGAGGAGGAGGAGGAAGTGCGGTAGGGAGAGGAGGAAGAGGACGAGTTTCTCTGGCCTGTCCCAGACCAAAGACGGGATGCTGGGGCAGAATAATTTGTTATTATTTATTAATGTGTATTTTTTCAATTTCCCTATGTTGCTTTTATGTTTTATGTAAAGCACTTTGAATTACCTTATTGTTGAAATGTGCTATACAAATAAACTTGCCTTGCCTTGGTGTATTGGACTGTACGGTACATTAAAGGTTCAGTGTGTAGGTTTTAGTGGCATCTAGTGGTGAGGGTCGCAAATTGCAAGAGGCTCACGGTGCATTCAGGTGCTCCTCTGGTGGTCCCATTTTACGAGTTGTTAAGTTGTTCTTCTGACTTCAGTGTGTGTTCATGTGCTCTTAAGTCTGAATGTGGAATCAACATGGACGCTACTACAGAGATGTGTTGGATTATAATTATCAGAGCATATAAACAACACGCAGACATCTAGTTTACTCTACATGGACAACAAACTAACATTTATAACAAATTATATGTTAGCAAAATATCTATATGTAATATGTGATTTTGGAGGAATCAAAGTTCAGTATACTTCTCACACTGCAGCTGAATCTCCCGTAGGGTCAAAACGTGTTGTCAAAAACCCTTACTACAAACTGAGCAGATATAAGGACTCTCCTCAGATTGGATTCACGCGTCTATGCAACTTTTTCTACACTGGTGAAAATATCCTGTTTCTCACCTGTGTGGGTTCTCATGTGTATCACAAAATCTCTTTTCCTTGTACAACGTAAGCCTTTAGTCGGTCTCCACATGATAATACTTACTTTTACTTGAGTAAGGTTTTCAATGCAGGACTTTTACTTGCAGTGGAGTATTTTCAGTGTGATATTTGTAATTTACAAACTGGGTATTTCTTCCACCACAGTACAATGCTATTTCTTGTATTTATATACAATATACACAAAAGTGAATAAAACCCTCACATTTTTTAAATATTTGATTCCATCTTTTCATGTGACAACACTGAAGAAATGACACTTTGCTACAATGTAAAGTAGTGAGTGTTCAACTTGTATAACAGTGTAAATTTGCTGTCCCCTCAAAATAACACATCACACAGCCATTAATGTCTAAACTGCTGGCAACTAAAGTGAGGACATTGCAGCAAAGTGTCTTTTCTTCAGCGTCGTCACATGAAAAGATATGATCAGATATTTACAAAAATGTGAGGGGTGGACTCACTTTTGTACGAGACGCGCAGAGTAAATAAATGTGTTAAAAATTAGGGTTGGGTGATTTCAACAACGAAACACCAGGATGGACGATGACCTTGATAAGCTAAGTAATTAACAGCGCAGGAAGAAGAGAAGTTGAGGCAGGTGCAAAGCAAGTACATTTACAAATAATAATAATGTCCGTGGGGATTAAAACATGCTTTCACATGGTATTTATGTGCAGGGGGTTTGGGCGTCATCCCCCAAGAATGTTTTCCAGTACAGAAATATGCAATTCCACATAATTTTGGAACATTGTTATTACCACCACTGTGAATGACAAGTAGGAAAATCTAGAGCAGATCTGAATAAACTACACCCTAAAAGCTAAACTTGCTAAATAAGTCTAATTTTGAATTATAACCATTAGTTTGTTAATCTGTGTGATTAGTTTTGTTGCTCTCCACAATGATTTTAAATTCATGGCGCAGCACCAAGCAGTTTTGAGCGTCATCGCCTTATAATGGCAGGAAAACACCGGTAACATGACCTCAGAATTATTACAGAGAGGATTATTCATGTTTGCCTTTTGTGTCTAAATTTACTGCTTTATACATTTGTAGAAATTAACATAAAAAACAGGCAACATGAGAACCACCTGTCTTCTGTATAATTACAAGCAATTCATTTGTACATTAAAACCCAAAAGAATAATCTGCTCATTAGCTTAAAAGGACCAGTTTACCTAATTAGCTTTAACGTTACTAACCTCAGCTCCTCCGTGGTCACCAACATCCTTTCTTATAATTTAACTATCAAGATGTGCAGTACAGGACTGAGCTGTAACCCGACAACTTAATGTTAATCTTATCCTCCGCAAATTTTGAATGAGGAGAGGGACACAGCCATGCGCTCAGTGTTACCATAACTTACTGAAATCATTAATGATCGTGTGAAAGTTTAGGAGCGACACTCATTCATTAAGCAGCGACAGTAGGCTTCAAAAACGCTGATAGCGACTGGTTTAAACCAGCCCCTAAGCTCTGATTCTTTCAGGCAAGAGTTGCTAAGGTTGCACTTTCGCACAGCTGGAGAATAAAACCGTTTTATATGTGCGGTACAATCCGAAAGAGACTCGCAGCAATAACACGACAGCTGCATCTTGGTCTTTGTAGTCGTAACACAGCATATTATATTTGGACTAGCGAAAGAAAGAACTACAACACCACGGGAGGATGTTGGGTCAGATGTGCGACCAGGCTGGGCCAGTTAAGCCTGAATCCCACCTCCACCAGCTTTATAAACTTTGTCAAAAAATACTCTAACTTTCCATTATAGTCAATTTTGCAATCAAAAACTTCTCTGGAAATGGTCAAGAGTCGGTGCAAAAGAGTTTATTCCAAAGCAGGACAGATAAACCCGTACAACATCCCTGCAGGTCAGAGGATGGAGTCAACCCAGTGGTCAGAAGACAGCCTTATATAACCCCTTCTGGGCCGGACTGCCCCCTCTTTTCCTTATGGTAAACTTCTTTTCCTCTGCTGTTGTGTTGTTTTTTACCAATTAACACTGTTCTCCAGCTGTCATTTATTACTGTATGGTTGACTTTACGCAGAGTTACGCATGCTTTATTTGACACACAATTTTATTTCTTAAAAATGAAAACAAGAATAACTTATGTACTGCTGTATCTTTCATTAATGCTTGGTTTCTTACAGTAATCTTGATGTTGTGCTGGCTGTGTCTGTCGTCTTTCTGCTCAGCAAAGATTCCTTCAGCAACTTCACTCAAAGTTCACACAGGCTCTAAGCATCAGAGGTTGGAAGTTGACAATCAACCCCATAATCAGTAATTAAACATGTAGTCTTAATATCAGCAGACTAACACATCAGCAATTCCTCATGTAATCATAACAACAGTAGATAACAGTAGACCAAAGCATGCACTTGTCAGCAGATTTTGAACATCTGCAGCCTCACCTGCAGTCATAACTCTACAGTAGATAACAGTTGAACAAGGTGTACGTAGTCTCAGTGTCTGCAGCCAATGCTCCCACTCAGGGATCTGAACCACAGTGAGCTCGTTACTGCATTCCTGACTAAAGTTCACTACTTATAAGTAAAAAATAAGGCACATCTAGGTAAAAAGAAAATGATTAATACTAATTAATGATTATTACTCATTAAAGATAATCACTGATTACTGCACAATGTCTGTCTTTGTGTCTGCACTAGTCCCCCTCTCTGTGTCCATGCTGATCATGCTATTTTAACCAAAAACCTCACTTTGTGGAATAAGCTGGTGTCTTTTGTGCTGTGTATTAGAGACAGGACATTCTGACTGTGATGGACTATATTGACGTATGTTTTGTAACACAATTTTGGCTAATTCTGCTTCTACAACTTCCTTTGCTGGTGTTTTTGATGATGCCTTGCTGTGTTCACTGTGCTCACAAAGCACACGTGCTTGCTTACGCACATACATGTGCTACTGCTGAGCCTGGACAGTTACAGATACAAAAAGGAGCAGATACACTCAGAGCTATAGAGTTGTAACACTGTGATCCTAATTTTACACTATAAAATAACTCTTTAAATGATGACTGTGACATACATCGGCTTTATAGATTTAGGAAAAGTTGAAAATCAAAAGGCAGCAATACAGCTAATGTTAACTGGCCAGCAATCCAAAGCCAAATCTTCTTTATCTTATCCCTGTTTTCTTCTGTCGTACCGCTTTAGCTGCCAACGACACGTAACGTTGCTGTAACTGTCTCTGTCACAGAGCAACAGGTGTTGTGCCGAATTCTTCCTGCCTGCTGAGAGTTGCATGCACCTCGCGGCTGATAACGCTCATTTATGCTGACAAGAGAGGTGGATGCAAATCTCTGCAGGTAGCCTACAACATCTCTTCTGGTGAATTCTGCATCCACCTCTTAAAGTCCTTTTCAGACACTTTGCTGTGCTCATTGATCAAACACGGTTATCACCACATATTTTAGCTGATTCTCAATGAATGTGTGTAACGAAATATTAACGACTCTAAACGTTCAAAAAAAAAAAGAAGGTTAAATAGGCCACTCCGAATCATTTGTCACCATTGATGAACCCCAGGAAGGATAGTATAGCGTTTAAAAGCAGTAGCCGAGTTTTGCATGCAATTCTCGGCAGCCATGCAAAACTCGGCATAACTTTTTCTGCTTAAATCGCACACTTTTTGCAGTTATGTAATCGCACATGACCACATCGCGACGGCAATTAGATTAATCGTGCAGCCCTAAATGTTGATTTGGAAATTCTTGACTCTGACCAACATTCAAAAAGCAGCTTCATTTTTTACCGTTTGCGTATCTTTTGACACTGTGGAGCCGAGTAAGGAACTAAACGCTCCCGTGTGAATTTTAGAGTGTCGTCTTAGATTTCCCTTTTCTGTGAATCTTTTACCACAAACTGAGCAGCTAAATGGTTTCTCCCCTGTGTGGAGTTTAGCGTGTAGTCTCAGAGTTCCCTTTTGTGTGAATCTTTTACCACAAACTGAGCAGCTAAATGGTTTCTCCCCTGTGTGGACTGTAGAGTGTCGTCTCAGACTTCCCTTTTCTGTGAATCTTTTACCACAAACTGAGCAGCTAAATGGTTTCTCCCCTGTGTGGACTGCAGAGTGTGGTCCAAGATTTCCCTTTCGTGCAAATCTTTTACCACAAACTGAGCAGCTAAATGGTTTCTCCCCTGTGTGGACTGTAGAGTGTCGTCGCAGAGTTCCCTTGTCTTTGCATATTTTACCACAAACTGAGCAGCTAAATTGTTTCTCCCCTGTGTGGACTTTAGCGTGTAGTCTCAGAGTTCCCATATGTGTGAATCTTTTACCACAAACTGAGCAGCTAAATTGTTTCTCCCCTGTGTGGACTTTAGCGTGTAGTCTCAGAGTTCCCATATGTGTGAATCTTTTACCACAAACTGAGCAGCTAAATGGTTTCTCCCCTGTGTGGACTGTAGAGTGTCGTCGCAGAGATCCCTTGTTTTTGCAACTTTTACCACAAACTGAGCAGCTAAATGGTTTCTCCCCTGTGTGGACTGTAGAGTGTCGTCGCAGAGTTCCCTTGTCTTTGCATATTTTACCACAAACTGAGCAGCTAAAATTTTTCTCCCCTGTGTGGACTGTAGAGTGTCGTCGCAGAGTTCCCTTTTGTGCAAATCTTTTACCACAAACTGAGCAGCTAAATGGTTTCTCCCCTGTGTGGACTGTAGAGTGTCGTCTCAGACTTCCCTTTTCTGTGAATCTTTTACCACAAACTGAGCAGCTAAATGGTTTCTCCCCTGTGTGGACTGTAGAGTGTCGTCTCAGACTTGCCTTTTCTGTGAATCTTTTACCACAAACTGAGCAGCTAAACTGTTTCTCCCCTGTGTGGAGTTTAGTGTGTAGTCTCAGATTTCCCTTTTGTGTGAATCTTTTACCACAAACTGAGCAGCTAAATGGTTTCTCCCCTGTGTGGACTGTAGAGTGTCGTCGCAGATATGCCTTTTGTGTGAATCTTTTACCACAAACTGAGCAGCTAAATGGTTTCACACCTGTTTGGGTTCCATTGTGGTTCTGCAGATGTCCCTTGTTACCAAATCTTGCAGCACATTCAGAGGAGCTAACTGATGTTCCTCCAGTGTTACATTCCTGATCACTTACAGGTACTTCATTGTTTTGCAGAGGGTTTAAACCTGGCTGAGGTTTCCTGGTCTCCTCCCAATCACAACTATCATCAGTCTCAGGTTCAGAGCAGAGTGAAGTCTGGTCATGAGTATCTGCTTGTAAAGGACTATCTGGATTAAAGTTCCTGGCTGGTTCTGGCCCTCCACAGTCCTCTCCATCTGTTTCTGTTTTCAAATTATCTGCATCTCTGTTAGCTTCAGTTTGGCTTTGATGAAGCTGTGAGGACTGAGGTTTCTCTTCATCATCTTCTTCACTCTTCACAGGGACAGGAGTGAATAGGAACTTGGTGATATCAGCCTCCTCCAGTCCTGGAAGCTGCTCTCCCTCCTGACTGTTCCAGAGCTCCTCCTGTTCCTCTTTAATGTGTGGCGGCTCTGGTGGGTCCTCCTGGTCCAGCCTGGGGCTCCACTGTTGCTGCTGCTCAGGGGGAACCTCTTCTTTACTCACCAACAGCTGCTGGACGTCTGTGGAGAATAATGAAAAACATGTTCTATGTCCCTCAAAAAAACTGCGCTCAGCAGCCTCCCAGTGAACACGGCAGGAACAGGACCGAACACAGAGACCAACAGGAAATATAGTACCGAGGTGATTTACAGAGTTTCTTGATGAACAGATACATTTACATTTTGCTAAACCCATTAATTACGGAGACCGTGGTGGCCCGCCAGTCTAATCTGCTCCGCCATAGTCTGAACCAAGAATATTTTTACACCTCAAAATAACGTTTCAGACCTCCAACGTTGCGTTTGTGGGAGCTGCTCCGCACTGCTGTAAGCTCGCACGCTCACACACTTTGGCATCCGACTTCAGACAACCGCCTTTCTTTTGAAGTAACTACAGTAACCTTAACGGTACGTTTGTCACTCGTTTGTGAGAAGGCGATTAAGCTAGCTGCACATAAATTTGGAGTGCACACATATGAAAACCTTTATGGTAACTGTAACGGACCAGCTCGAGCTGACAGGCAGGTTAGCAACTCCTGCCATATTCTCTCTTTACAAAGACCAGTGTTGCAATATGAGAGTCCAACCTCTATAATTTCTATAATAAAATATCGATACTTGGCGTCCGTGTATCGATACAGTATTTCCATGGCAAATATCACGATACTATGCTGTATCAATTTTTTCCCCCCACCCCTAGTGACAACGTCCATTTTTCAAAATAAGGTGTCTATACAGTTTGGAATTCATATTAATTGGATTATATCATATTCACAGAAAGTATAAAACATATTACATGTGTCCATTAAAATTAAAAACAACAACAATAAAATTTTAGGAAAATTACTTGTTCTATTTTCTATTCTTTGATTTGGGGTTGCTGGAAAAACATTAAATACATTTGTTGACTTTTGTTGCTGTTTCATCACCATTTACAGCGATACAATGGGTTTATGATCAAATAGATTACAAGAGCACAACATTGTTTACAAGAGTGCAGAGTTATTTAGAGATAGCCTCTTAATTTTGCACCAAATTAATGCATTTAACTATTTGCACGCATTTAACTATTTGCACGCCTCTGGAGCAACGAGGGGTTAAGTGTCTTACTCAGGGACACAATGGTGGGTGGGTCACAGTGGGGGACTGAACCCAGGTCTCTCACTCCAAAGACAGGCGTCTTATCCACTGCACCATCACCGCACCAACAGCACATTCTTTCATGGGAAAATTAAATCTAAAAAGGTATCTTCTTCTTCTTTAAAATGTTATAAGGACAAAATTAATCAGTTGTGTTGTTGTTTAAATGAATCATTAGGCTATATATGATTAATAAATTTGTGTTATTTTTCTCTTTTAAACCAATAACTTGCAAAATAGTCTTAAAAACCAACAGGAAAATGAATCGTGCAAAGAATAAAAACATTTAAACAGGGATTTTGATTTTATGGGAATGGATTCTGAAGATTTTGCATACGTTTCTCTAAAAATACACTGAGCAGAAACGCATAGTTGACACTATCTTGGCTTCATTTGCCTTTTTGGCTTCAAAGTAATCCAAAAGTAACTCAAAGTAATCAGGTTACATTACTTTTATTTTGTGGTACTTGGATGACGTTACTCATTACATTTTTTAACAATTAGTACCTGATAACATTTTGAAGTAATCCTCCCAACCCTGGCTGTCGTTACCGTAAAACTCAGATTATGGGTACAATAATCTTTCAGTGGCAGCAGGTTTGCAGCAGTTTGCAGTGAGAATAAGCAGTAAAGAGTACAAACCTGCTCTGTGTAACCGGACTTCAGGCTGGAAAACAGCGTCCAGTAGTTTCCTGTGTCTCTGGTTCTCCTCTTTGGAACGACAGAGTTCCTCCTCGTACTCTGATATCGTTCTTTCAAACAGCCCAAATATCTCTTCAGCAGCCGCAGTTAGTCGCTGGTTGATAAAACCTCTCAGCATCTGGACTTTAGACATTTTAAACAAATGAAAAACACAGTTTCGAATCAGAGTTCTGGTCTATTTCCAGCTAGCAAGCTAAGCTAACTTCAGTTAGCATTCGTGGCTAACAGGAGATGAGTCTGAAGTGAAACCAAAGTTTCCACTTTAGCACGTTTATCCCACTGAGGTTTATCCAAACATACAGGCTCCGCTAGTTCACTACGGGAACACACGAACACGTTAGCATGTTGACACAGGAAGTAAAAGCGCTTCCGGTACCACGTCGTCTTCTTCTTTTAGAGTTTAGCTGGCGGTTGGCAAACCAACTTAAGGTGCCTTTACCGCCACCTACCGGACTGCAGTGTGGTCGTCGAGAATAGTCAGAGGGAATTATTCACCTATGCGCACCTATACCTACGGTATAAATATGCTCATATTAAATACGGTAAAACAACCCCGTGTTTTTGAGAAACCTCATAACTTGATTTTTAACACTTTTAGATACATCTCCTAAGAGATTAACTAAAGTAAGCGCTTTCCCTTCCTTATGGAGGACTGATGTTAAACAATTACGCTCCTCCATGTAATTACTGCACTCTATTAGGACATGCTCAGCTGTTTCTGGCTGACCGCAATAATCACAGGCTCCTGTCTGATGTTTCCCTATACGGAACAAAGATCTATTGAGACCTGAATAGCCAATCCTCAAATGTGTCAGCACTGCCATCCCTAGACCTACCCCCTCCCACATTTCTTTGCACGCAGTAAAGATGTCTGCAACGCAGCTTGACTGTCTGAGGCAACTACAGCTCTGTTTATGCCTCCAATGTAATTCATATGCACCCAATTAAGAGCTAAAGCAATGGCAGTGAGTTCAACAGTATACACTGCAAGATCATCAGAAGTTCTTCTTTTAATTTTGTTATGTTATATTGTGGAATACTCACTGCCGCTCCTGTTCTGCCATTGTTGGGATCTTTAGACCCATCAGTATACAGTACAAGGTGCTCCTCAAAATAATTTTGAACAACAAGCCATTCTGGGGTACCCCTACTTTTCTTTTTCAGTGCCAGTTGTAGCTGCAAGTCCACTACTGGCATAACAAACAACCATGGAGGTATAGATGAACATGGCACAGTCGAACTGAACTTAAACTGTGTCAGGTCTACATTCTGAGCTTTAATACCCCCAATCCACAGTAGACAAGACTCCTGATGTTCCCAACAATCCTGCAACATAGCTTTTGCTGGGTGAACACAGCTATGACCCTGGAGATTGACCCAGTACGCACACATTAGCTTAACTCTCCTTAACCGTATCGGAAGTTCTTCAGACTCAACCTGCAATGCAGCAACAGGAGACGATGTAAAAGCTCCGCAACAAATACGCAACCCTTGTGACTGTTCTCTTCATCAAATGACTTTCAGCAGCTCCCATATAGGCTAAACAGCTATAATCAAGGGAAGACCTCATGAGAGCCTGGTAAATCCTCAACAACACTCCTCTCGCAGCTCCCCAGTCCTGACCAGACAAACACCTCAACAAATTACCCTGTAAGTTTTTTACATTTGTTTTGAACATACTCTATGTGCCGCTTCCAGCTAAGTTTCTCGTCAAATATAACTCCCAAAAACTTCACAGCACTCACTTGTTCCAGCTTTTGCTCGTAAAGTTTTAATATGATGTCTTCATGTCATCTTGAAAAGCAAATAACTTGGGTCTTAGCAACAGATATTCTGAAGTCCCACTTATTAGCCCATTCCTACACCACCACAATTGCATCTTGCATCTTCTTTTCCAGGTACTTCAGATTACGCCCCCGCACCCAAAGGGCCCCGTCATCTGCATGTAAGGACTTGCCTATACTTCCGTCAATTTCGATTGAAAATGTCATTTATCATTATGTTGAAAAGTACTGGACTACAGACGCTGCCTTGTGCTGTACCATTCTCTACAGCATACGTACTGCAATAGGCCGTGCCAACTCTAACCTCAATTTCTCTTCCAAATAAAAAATCCAGTACCCAATTAGAAAGCTTACCTCCAATACCAAGCTTCTCAAGCTTCATCAACAATCCCTCCTTCCATCACATATCGAAAGCTTTCTCTGTATCAAAAAAGGCAGCCACCACTATTTCTTTGTTTGTTTGGGCTTTTCTCACTTCTGACTCCAAACATAGAATTGCGTCGCATTTTTCCTAACTGCGAGGTAAGCGCAATGGGCCTGTAATTAGAAGGGTCAGTTGCACTCTTACCAGGCTTCAGCACTGGCACTATGACTGCCTGTTTCCACCATGAATCCTTCCTGTTTCCCAAACCAAATTGAAAAGCTTCAGGACAGCATTTAGAGACCTGTCACTTAAATGTCCAAGCACAGAGTAGCAAATACCATCCTTGCCAGGCGTAGATTGCTTCACATTACAGACGGCTTTCTTTAATTCAAAAAGTGAAAAAGGCATATCAAGGTCCCGACTTCAGACTCTCTTCTGAACACTAACTCCTGGATTTTCAGCTAAAGCCTCCTCTCTACGGCACTTGGCAGTGTCTGACAAGTTCTCAGAACTGTGCACTTTAACTAAAGTCTCCACCAACAACTCTGCTTTTTCATTATTACTAACCTGCCCATTACAAAACAAAACAGGCATAGAATAATTCCTTTTTATACCATTCATTTTCCTAATAACTCCCCAGACATCTGACAGCTTAGTTTCTCTCCCAATAGTATTACAATACTCCCCCCAGCAAGCCCTTTTAGCAGCTCTAACAGTCCTTCTAACAACAGCCTGCGCTCTCTTTTACTGGACTAAAGCCTCAAGTGTATGATTCTTCCTTATCTGCTCAAATGCCTTACTTCTCTCTTTAATTGCAGCACTACACTGCTCACTCCACCATGGTATGGACTTTTTAAGTCCTCTTCCACCAGACTTTGGAACTGAGACCTCAGCTGCCTGCAGAATAGCAGACACAAGTTCAGAGTTAAGTAATTCCACATCATTCAAACACCTTTCATCTAATTCACCACACTGCCTATCAGCTAAAACTTGAAATAATTCCCAGTTGGCTTTATCTAACCTCCATCTTGGTACCTGCACTTCATCTTCTTTAGTTACATCAGTTCCAACTGTTGTAATTATGGGAAAGTGATCACTACCCATAGGTGAGTCACTTAACACCTCCCAGGATGTAATACCTGCCACTCCACTCCATACAAATGTTAAATCCAAAGAACTCTCTGTGTTTCTACAACAGTCATATCTTGTACCTCTACCATCATTAACGCAAACAAGCGAATTCAATTCAACAAACTCCTCAATAATCACAACATTTGCACCTGTATTCAGGCTTCCCCATAATACATTATGAGAATTAAAATCACCGCACCACACTACCTTTCCTTGAATCTGTCCACTCAGACCTGAGTTTAGAAATTAATGGCTGTGTGATGTGTTATTTTGAGGGGACAGCAAATTTACACTGTAGCACTCACTACTTTACATTGTAGCAAAGTGTCATTTCTTCAGCGTTGACACATGAAAAGATAAAACATTTACTAAAATGTGAGTGTACTCACTTTTGTCCGATACTGTACTACATCCACTCCAGCAAATTAATTAATGGCTGTGTGATGTGTTATTTTGGGACAGCAAATTTACACTGTTATACAAGCTGTACACTCACTATTTTACACTGTAGCAAAGTGTAATTTCTTCAGCGTCGTCACATGAAAAGATAAAATCAAAGGTTTACATAAATGTGAGGAGTGTACTCACTTTTGATACTGTACTACATGCCACTCCAGCAAACAGCAGATTAGGATGAATCAGATTTTTACATTTTCCATAACAATGGTACCACAAGAGAGCAACTGGAAATTCTACAGTATCTTAATTGCAGCATTATTAATGCCCTAACACTTTGGATGCCATAATACACACCATGTTTGGAGGAGAACTGGCACTGCACATCACCCTAAAAACTTATTCCCATTTTCCCTGTGTCATTTCACATTATTACACATAACTTTATTTCTGAACTTCTTTGTTTTGGTTTCTTTGTATATATGGATTACTTGGGTTGTTACCAACATCTGGTGAAAATTTCATGAGACAACATGTTGCAAACAAATGTGGGCGGGTGGGTATGGGGGTCCTAACCCCAGAAAATTGTGTTTTCCAGTAAATAAATATATATAATTTCGTGTAATTGTGGACCATTATTATTTTCCATATCTATACAAGAAGTTGGAAAAGCTAGAGCAGATTATAAATAAACAACAACCAAAAAGCTAAACTTGCTAAAGAAGTCTTCTGGGGAGGAGCTATAACCATTAGATCTGGGAAAAGCCAACTTGTTAGTTTTGATGCTCTCCACAATTATTTTACATTCATGGCACAGCCCCCGAGCTGTTTCGGGCCTTACTGCCATATAGCAGGAACAACCCTGTAGATATAATGTCAGAATCATTTTAAATAGGTTTATTCATGTTTGCCTTTTGTGTCTAAATTTACAACTTTTGACATTTATTAGTAGAAAGTATTATAAAAAATAGGCAACGTGTGAACCTCCCTTCTGTATAATTACCAAACATTTCAACTGTACTTTGAAATCCTAAAGAAACGTCTCCTCATTAGCATAAAATGACTAATTTGCATCATTCATTTGCTTAACTAACATCAGCTGCTCCATGGTCACCACCGTCCTTTCCTAACTAACAAGTTTTTCAGACTCATCTGAAAAGTAAATTATTATCTAACTATCAGGATGTGCAGTATGTATCCAGGACAGAGCCGTACACCAGTTTAGCCTAAGCTTTTACCTGATGCTCTCAACACTGGAGGCGAAGGTAGTAAAGAAATGTAGATAATTAATGTTACTTCCAGGCCACGGGTAGCCAGTGGAGGTCACTGAGTAATGGAGTGACATGACTCCTTTGGGGCTGATCAAAAACTAGACATGCTGCTGAGTTCTGAACCATTTATAGACCCACTAGGAGGGCATTGCAGTAGTCGAGTTGAGACATAATCCTGTCCTGTACCAGATCTTGGGTGGCATACTGTGTAAGGTAGGGCCTTATTTTTCTTATGTTGCATAGAGCAAACGGGCAACATGGTCTGAAAAGGACGTCTAGCGGGAAGGATACGTAGAGTTGCGTATCGTCTGCATAGCAGTGGTACGAGAAGGCATGTGAGCGAATGATCGGCCCCAGTGAGGTGGTGTCAATTGAGAAGAGAAGGGGCCCTAGCACTGAGCCCTGGGGCTCCCCTGTGGAGAGGCAGTGGGAGGAAGATAACTGTCCTTGCCAGAAAACATTGTAAGAACGCCCAGAGAGGTTGGATTCAAACCACAGGAGAGCTCTGCCCGAGATGCCCATTGCTAAGAGTGCGGATAGCAACATCCTGTGATTGAAAGGCAGCTGATAAGTCAAGCAGGATAAGAACTGAGGACTGGGCTGCAGCGTTAGCTGACCTTAGGGCTTCTGTTACACATAGAACAGCAGTTTCAATAGAGTGGCCAACCTTAAAACCAGACTGATGTGGATCTTGGAGGTCAATCCGTGAGAGGAATCCTGAGACTTGTTTGAAGACTTGGGACAGGTAAACTAACATTGCAGAAAAGCATGTGGAATATATTGTGATTTTGTGCTTAAATTAGAGACAGGCACTGTTTGCTTCGTAACGTTCAATTTAGATATATTGTCATTTTCCCAGAGACTCAGGTACACAGCGTCTTCAGTCTACAGCTTATTGACCCACATATTGGCAACATTTATGAAATATAACAAAAGAGGACAACAACATAGAGGAAGACCCATTCACTACAGTAACTTACTTGGGAAGTTGGCGATATCAGCCTCCTCCAGCTCTGGAAGCTGCTCTCCCTCCTGACTGGTCGTGAGTTCCTCCTGTTCTTCTTTAATGTGCGACGGCTCTGGTGGGTCCTCCTGGTCCAGCCTGGGGCTCCACTGCTGCTGCTCAGGTGGAACCTCTTCTTTACTCACCAACAGCTGCTGGACGTCTGTGGAGAATAAGAAAAAACATGTTTTATGTCCCTCAAAAAAAAAAATCAGCAGCCTCCCAGTGAACACAGCAGGAACAGGACCGAACACAGAGATCAACAGGGAATATAGTATCGAGGTGATTTACAGAGTTTCTTGATGAACAGATACATTTACTTTTTGCTAAACCCACTGTTTTCGATTAATTAACAAGACCGTGGTGGCCCACCACAGTCTAATTTGCTCCGGCATAGGCTGAACCAAAAATATTTTTACACCTCAAAATAACGTTTCAGACCTCTAACGTTGCGTTTGTGGGAGCTGCTCCGCACTGCTGTAAGCTCACACGCTCACACACTTTGGCATCCGACTTCAGACAACCGCCTTTCTTTTAAAGTAACTACAGTAACCTTAACAGTCTGTTTCTGTCACTCGTTTTTGAGAAGGAGATTAAGCTAGCTGCAAATAAATTTGGAGTGCACACATATGATAGCCTTTATGGTAACTGTAACGGACCAGCTCGAGCTGAAAGACAGGTTAGCAACTCCTGCCATATTCTCTCTTTACAAAGACCAGTGTTACAGTATGAGAGTCCAACCGGAAGAGAGGCTGTGAAGTCTTCATGTTACGTGACAGACAAACTGCATACAACATAATTTATGAAACTGGGTCGGACTTGATGAATTTAGCGCGAGGATACACATGTGACAACATCCGTTATTCAAAATATTAATTGGATAAAATCATATTCACAGAAAGTATAAAACATATGACGTGTTCATTAAAAGTAAAGAGGGTCCGAGGTCCACCCACCATACTCTCTTAAAATCCTGTGGGAAACACTGTAAAACACTAACTGTATCTGTAGCTAGTTAGCTCGGTTAGCCGTGCTGCTAGCTGCCCTTTATTAGATGAGTCAGTCCCGGATGTGCAAAGAGTCAAATCCGGCAAGAAAACCACCTCAGTCCTGTATTCCCTGTTGTCAAAATTGGCCTCTGTCGGTTTCGGAGGCCGAGTTCGGTTCCGGTTCGGCCGCAGAGTTTACTCACTGAGAGCTGAACCAGTCCGCGCAGTCTGCCTGACAGGCTGGGGGCAGAACGCATATTCAGCACTACTGGATACTGAAAACCCCAATCAATATCTGCAACAAGTCCCTCCCTGTCTTTGTGCTTTTAAATACAGCAAAAGCATTACATTTATTCATTTTGCTTTTATCCAAAGCGACTTACAATTGCTATGCATGTCAGAGGTCGCACGCCTCTGGAGCAACTCAGGAACACAATGGTGGGTGTCTCACAGTGGGAATCGAACCCAGGTCTCCCACACCAAAGGCAAGCATGTTTTCGCTTCACGTGAAGCTGCTACAACTCCATCCTAGGGGAAACACTGAGACCATGGATGGGCCAGATACTGCCATAGTGGTGACATAGTGCAAAGCATAAAAACATTTAAACAGGGATTTTGATTTCATGGGAATGATTTTGTACACACTTCTCTAAAAATACACTGAGCAGAAACGCATTGTTGACACTCTCTTGGCTTCATTTGCCTTTTTGGCTTCAAAGTAATCCAACGGTAATCAGGTTACATTACTTTTATTTTGTGGTACTTGGATGATGTTAACAATTAGTACCTGATAACATTTTGAAGTAATCCTCTCAACCCTGGCTGTCGTTACCGTAAAACTCAGATTATGGGCACAAAAATCTTCCAGTGGCAGCAGGTTTGCAGCAGTCTGCAGTGAGAATAAGCAGTAAAGAGGACAAACCTGCTCTGTGTAACCGGACTTCAGGCTGGAAAACAGCGTCCAGTAGTTTCCTGTGTCTCTGGTTCTCCTCTTTGGAACGACAGAGTTCCTCCTCGTACTCTGATATCGTTCTTTCAAACAGCCCAAATATCTCTTCAGCAGCCGCAGTTAGTCGCTGGTTGATAAAACCTCTCAGCATCTGGACTTTAGACATTTTAAACAAATGAAAAACACAGTTTGGACTCAGAGTTCCTCCAACCAGCGCTGTGTGGCCGAGTTCCGTCTATTTCCAGCTAGCAAGCTAAGCTAACTTCAGTTAGCATTCGTGGCTAACAGGAGATGAAAGGTGAAACCAAAGTTTCCACTTTAACACGTTTATCCCACTGACTGTATAAAAGAAGGTTTATCCAAACATACAGGCTCTAGTTCACTCCGGGAACACACGAACACGTTGGCGTGCTGACAAAGGAAGGAAATGCGCTTCCGGTACCACGTCTTCCCACACCTTCAAAATAAAAGTTTGTGTAGAAAGAACAAAGTCCTATCTGATGAACTAAGAAGCAGAAAGAGCAGCACTCTCTTTATTTTAGACAACACAACACTGTTCATCCCAGAGGTAGTCAACATATACAAGTAAGTAAATAAACTAAATAAAAAATAAAAATTATGTATCATCTGTCCATCAGAAAATAATCAAACACAAAAGTGATTTTAATTGCAAATTATCATGAGAGAAGCTGAAACGATGAAATGTTTTTATACAATCATCAAAATAGTTGGCAATTAATTGACTAATCGTTTCAGCAGTACTTCATTTATATTTAAAACAAAACATTATATTTTATAAACACTTCATATGTAAAGTATATTTCCCTCCGAGATGTCGCGGAGTTTAAGTAGAAAGTGGCACGAAAATAAATGACTCAAGTAAAGTTTTAAGGTTCTTGTACTGGAGGTACCTTTTAATACTAGAAATACATTTTAAAGACACTTTTACAGATGCATTGCTTTTACCTGTAATAGAGTACTTTTACTTCTGATCTGATGTAACTAGAAATCACCAGTATACAGTGAAAGGTGTGACTGCAGCTTCTAAATAAATTACATTATTAATAGACTAGTTTGATTCACTTTAGTCTGTACTACACTTCCCCAGGATTTTATTTTCTCTGGTGTCCATCCAACATTTTGGTGACTGACGGCAGGTCATGCTGCACTTTGCTGAACCTGACATGTCAGTTCATGTTCTCTGGTGTCTTAAAGATAAATTGCAGTTTTTCTTGAAGGCTTAAACAAAATAATCAGGCTTTTCAACAACAATTATAAAACCATAATGCCATTTGTCAAAAAGCACACCCATTTCCCTAAACTGCTTTAACACATGATTCAGGTTTGTTGAACTGTCTCTGCAAAACTCTACACACAAATCCCTTCATTTCTCATTGCCTACACCATGTGGTCATTTAGAAAGCACTAACATTCAATATTGTTCACTCAAGTCAGCACAGGTTGAGCTCAGTTAGCTCACAGCTACCCAGGTGGAAACACAAAGAGTCATAATTGGTCACAAACCAATCACAACCTTCAATAGATAAATAAAAGGGTTGAGTAAGTTCATTCAGTTTTGGAACAACGGATCCAGAGAGATGTGAAGAAGATGTCCAGGACACCAGAGAGGAGGAGGAGGAGGAGGAGGAGGAGGACAAGTTTCTCTGGCCTGTCCCAGACCAAAACAGGATGTTGGGGCAGAATCATTTTTTAGTTGTTTGGTGTATTGTACTGTACGGTACATTAAAGGTTCAGTGTGTAAGTTTTAGTGGCATCTAGTGGTGAGGGTCGCAAATTGCAAGAGGCTCACGGTGCATTCAGGTGCTCCTCTGGTGGTCCCATTTTACGAGTTGTTAAGTTGTTCTTCTGACTTCAGTGTGTGTTCATGTGCTCTTAAGTCTGAATGTGGAATCAACATGGACGCTACTACAGAGATGTGTTGGATTATAATTATCAGAGCATATAAACAACACACAGACATCTAGTTCACTCTACATGGACAGCAAACTACACTACACTGTAGCTCCCCAGTGCCAGCAGCACTCATGCAGCCCCAGACCAGGACACTCCCAACACCATGCTGGACTGCAGGCAAGACACACTTGTCTTTGAACTCCTCACCTGGTTGCCGCCACACACGCTTGACAACATCTGAACCAAATAAGTTTATCTTGGTCTCATCAGACCACAGGACATGGTTCCAGTAATCCACGTCCTCAGTCGGCTTGTCTTCAGCAAACTGTTTGCGGGCTTTCTTGTGAATCATCTTTGGAAGAGGCTTCCTTCTGGGACGACAGCCATGCAGACCAGTGCACTGCTTATGGTGTGTTCACATAGATAAAGAGATTCCAAAATATCAACATCGTATTGCTGATTAGTAAAATGTCTAATTTCATTCTTTGTCAGGTCTGTCCGCAACACGACCAGCAAACGTTTAAAATGCTTATTTTCTTAAGGGAGTTCAGGTCGATCGGGGCTATGCTAACTCGTATCATACTACAACTGATATCTGGAAACGATTAAAAGACACATATTTTCAAAACTTAGCAGGTTCAACTTCCTTAGTTTTCTTTGTCCGCTCGGTGTAAATATAAAGTAGCACAACAGACAGGGTTTCTGCAGGGTTCACCTTGTCAAATTTAAAACTTTAAACTTTTTAAGACCACTTTACAAAATTTAAGACCTATATCACAACGTCAAAAAAAGAAACAGACGTGCAGAGTAAATAAATTTATTCAAATTAGGTTTGGGTGATGTTTACAAATCTGGCACTGGATAATGTGAACAATGAAACACCGGGATGGACGTTGACATTGATAAGCTACGTAATTAAGAAGCTGGCCTGCTGGCGTGAAAAAGGATCACAGGTGGAAATAGCCAGAAAAATGACGAGTTCTGTGAGTGAGTGCAGGAAGAAGAGATGCAAGATGTGCAGTACAGGACTGAGCTGTAACCCGACAACTTAATGTTAATCTTATCCTCCGCAAACTTTGAATGAGGAGAGGGACACAGCCATGCGCTCAGTGTTACCATAACTTACTGAAATCATTAATGATCGCGTGAAAGTTTAGGAGCGACACTCATTCATTAAGCAGCGACAGTAGGCTTCAAAAACGCTGATAGCGACTGGTTTAAACCAGCCCCTAAGCTCTGATTCTTTCAGGCAAGAGTTGCTAAGGTTGCACTTTCGCACAGCTGGAGAATAAAACCGTTTTATATGTGCGGTACAATCCGAAAGAGACTCGCAGCAATAACACGACAGCTGCATCTTGGTCTTTGTAGTCGTAACACAGCAAATTATAATTGGACTAGCGAAAGAAAGAACTACAACACCGCGGGAGGAAAAACACATTCTAAAGCGCTGCGGGAGCATTTCAATGAGCATTAGCGTTACATGGAAGTTGAAAACTTAAGACCCGTTTAAAATTATTTAAGAACTAGAACACAAACTTCACCAAATTTAAGACTTTTTAGGGCCTTAAATTTGTATAGGGCTGCACGAGAAAAAGTCATACTGCAATTATTGTGGACAATATTTTGATTGCGATTCGATTATAATGGAACAAATGAATGAAAATTAGTCTACTTTTCTCTACTTGAACGAAGTCGAATAAACAATATGTATAACAATAACTTTAGTAAAACAGATGTAAAAGAGAACAAGGGGTGCGTGATGCTCTACGGAGGAGACGACTAAAAGGAGCAAATACTGGCACACTGGATCTAAATCTACATCTGTCCACTGCACAGGCTCTATCCACAACCTGGAGGAGGAACTAGTATACATGACTGTATTAGCATAATATTATAACATTAAAGGAGACCTATTATACTGCATTTCCAGCCCTATATTGTAGTTCTGTGACTCCTCTATGGCAGCTTTGCATGATTCAAAGTTCATCTTATACTGGTTCTTCATGCAGGCCTTCATTTCAGCCTCTGTCTGAAACAAGCTGTAGATGCTCCTGTCTCTTTAAGGCCCCCCCTCCAAATCCCACTGTCTTCTGATTGGCCGTTGTCTTATGTGTTTACCAGGTTGCTGCAGGAATAGGGCTGTTAGTAGAAAAACTGTTTAAAACAGAGCATTCAGAACAGGGAGATATCTGAGGTTTTGGCTCAATGGGATTTCTTTTAAATACTTTGACATTATTTGAAGCTTTGGCCGTGTTTAACGTGAACATCTGACATTGTAACATTATAGTAATGACAGAATATGAAAAAGCATAATAGGTCCCCTTTAAATAAAGAGTATAATGTTCAATTAACAGTATACTGTTAGTATAATGTTAATATATTAATTACTATATTCATTATAATTTCATATAATAGTTTACTATTTTACCACTAGTTGAATATTAAATCCAGTTACAGCTGTTTCATTTCTGTGGGTTGTTTTGATTTATTTAATCCCTCTGCAAGCAAAATGATCTATATTGGTCTCTAATTTTTAAAGTATTAACTTGTCAATAATCATATTGTTCAACATTTAATATTCTGCCGAATTCTGCATCCACCTCTTAAAGTCCTTTTCAGACACTTTGTGTTCATTGATCAAACGCGGTTATTACCACATATTTTAGCTGATTCTCAATAAATGCTACTTCTGCTAAGTGTAAAGAAATATTAATGACTGTAAATGTAAAAAAAAAAAAAAGGCTATATAGGCTACTTCGAATCATTTGTCACCATTGATGAATCCCACAAAGGATATTATAGCGTTTAAAAGCAGTAGCCGAGTTTTGCATGCAATTCTCGGCAGACATGAAAACCTCTGCATAACACCGGCCGACCAGCATTTCTCTCGTTGCTCGGTGGCGAGTCCGGCTATGTTTTGAACGATTAGTGACAGGGGGGAGAGGGGGGCTCTGTAGGTTGTTGTCTTTAATGTTACTCGCTCACTGCCCATAAATTACTGTTTGTGGTTCATGCTCATCTGTTTTAGGAGCACATGCGAGAGCCCGGTGTGGGCGGAGATAATGAGCAGACAGCAGTGCTTAACAGAGGAGTCTCACACACACAGCACACTTTTCGCGGTTATGTAATCGCACATGTCGACATCGCGATTGCAATTAGATTAATCGTGCAGCCCTAAAATTGGATATTGAAATGTTAGACTTTTTAAGGAATACGTGGCAGAACACAACTTTTAGCCGATCAATGTTCAAGAAGCAGCTTAATTTTTTACCAATACACTTGAATATATTTTGACACTGTGGAGTCGAGTCAATATTTTACCACAAACACAAACTAAATGGTTTCTCCCCTGTGGACTTTAAAGTGTCGTCTTAGATGTGCCTTTCGTGAGAATCTTTTACCACAAACTGAGCAGCTAAATGGTTTCTCCCCTGTGTGGACTGTAGAGTGTCGTCCCAGAGTTCCCTTTTCTGTGAATCTTTTACCACAAACTGAGCAGCTAAATGGTTTCTCCCCTGTGTGGACTTTAGCGTGTAGTCTCAGATTTCCCTTTTGTGCGAATCTTTTACCACAAACTGAGCAGCTAAATGGTTTCTCCCCTGTGTGGACTATAGAGTGTTGTCTCAGATGGGCCTTTTGTGTGAATCTTCTACCACAAACTGAGCAGCTAAATGGTTTCTCCCCTGTGTGGACTCTCATGTGAGTCCCAACATCTCTTCTCAATGGAAATGTTTTTTTACAAACAGAGCAGCTGAAAAGTTTTTCTCCTGAATGGAGTCTCATATGAATCTTTAAGTAGTTCTTCCGGCTGTATCTTTTACCACAAACTGAGCAACTAAATGGTTTCACTCCTGTTTGGGTTCCATTGTGGTTCTGCAGATGATCCTTGTGACCAAATCTTGCAGCACATTCAGAGGAGCTAACTGATGTTTCTCCAGTGTTACATTCCTGATCACTTACAGGTACTTCATTGTTTTGCAGAGGGTTTAAACCTGGCTGAGGTTCCCTGGTCTCCTCCCAATCACAACTGTAATCAGTCTCAGGTCCTGGGGAGAGTGAAGTCTGGCCATGAGTATCTGGTTGTAAAGGACTATCTGGATTAAAGTTTCTGGCTGGTTCTGGTCCTCCACAGTCCTCTCTATCAGTTTCTGTTTTCAAATGCTCTGCATCTCTGCTCTCTTCAGTTTGGCTTTGATGAAGCTGTGAGGACTGAGGTTTCTCTTCATCATCTTCTTCACTCTTCACAGGGACAAGAGTGAATGGGAACTTGGTGAGATCAGCGTCCTCCAGTCCTGGAAGCTGCTCTCCCTCCTGACTGGTCGTGAGTTCCTCCTGTTCTTCTTTAATGTGCGACGGCTCTGGTGGGTCCTCCTGGTCCAGCCTGTGGCTCCACTGCTGCTGCTCAGGGGGAACCACTTCTTTACTCACCAACAGCTGCTGCACGTCTGTGGAGAATAATGAAAAACAGGCAAATTTTTTAATATCCTTTAATTTCCTGTTAACACTTAAACCACTGATACCACTAAAGATGGGGAGAAACATTGCACATTTCAGTGTTTCTCCTACCCTTGTTTTGGGAGGGGAGGCTTTCCTCCCCTAAAACATTTATTACTACACTTTATTTCTGAACATCTTTGTTTTGGTTTTTGCATGTATGGATTACTTGGGTTCTTATCAACATCTGGTGAAAATTTCATGTCAATAGCTCCTTTGGAAATATATTTACTGAGAAAAATGGTGACGTGTTCAATACTTTTTTCACCCGCTGTAAAACACCAAGACAACATGTTGCAAAAAAATGTGGGCGGGTGGGTATGGGGGTCCTAAATATTTTCCAGTAAATATATATTATTTTTTTGTGTAATTGTGGACCATTATTTTCCATATCTATACAAGAAGTTGGAAAAGCTAGAGCAGATTATAAACAACAACCAAAAAGCTAAAGAAGTCTTCTGGGGAGGAGCTATAACCATTAGATCTGGGAAAAGCCAACTTGTTAGTTTTGATGCTCTCCACAATGATTTTACATTCATGGCACAGC